CTCTCTCTCTCTCTCTCTCTCCCTCCCTCCCTCCCTCTCTCTCTCCCTTCCTCTCTCTCTCTTCCCCCTCCCCTCCCTCCCTCGATCCTTCCCTCCCTCCCCCTCTCCACATCCACATAAACCCCCCTACACACACACACACACTGCATGGATAGAACATCCAGATTCAAGGTCTGCCTGGACTGCAGTGAGTTCAGAGAACTTAAGAACAACTTAGTAAGGGTCTGCCTTAAAATAACAAGTAAAAAGAGGTCTGTGGTAGAGTGTTTGTCTAATATATACCCGTGTACCAACTGGGGAGTGGTCAGAAATGCTACAAGTCCTAGCACTGGAAAGGCCAAGATAGAAAGTGTTTGAGCCCAACCTTAGCTGCATAGTGAGATCTTCTCTCAACACAAGAGCAACAAAAATATTGTTCATGAAATAAGTAGTCCTCCCACGATGGAAGGCTCCAGAGCAGAGACCTGGGGCTCATCAGCAAAGGTGCAGGGATGGGCACTGCCTGAACATCCTGGGCTAAAGTAAGCATCCTCCTGATGTCATTTTTACACATCAGACCCACAAGTATCCTGAAGGTCTAGTGACAAGAGGCATTTGCTAAGACTTTGGCAGCTGGCAACCCTCCTCCACACCTGCTCATTTCACAGGGATCCTCTGTACTCCAGATACCGACCAGCCAGTCCTGACTAACCTTGGGTCAAGCTGCTTCTTTTCCATTTATTTTGCCCATCTTTCGTGTGTGTGTGCGTGTGTGTGTGTGTAAGCCCAAGGTTAGTATCAGGAATTACTGTCCATTGTTCTTTTGCCATTGTTTATTCACCAAGGCAGGTTCTGGCTAGCAAGCTCAGACCCCATGATATGACTCATCTCACTGGAAATTGCTCCCATGACATTTCATTTTATTTTATTTTTTGAAACACTGTCTCTCAAATGCAGGATGGCCTTGAACACCTGATCCTTCTACTTCTACCTCCGAAGTACTGGGATTATAGGCATGCACCACCATGCGTAGTTTATATGGTACTGAAAATAGAATCAGGATATTGTGCATAGTAAGCTCCCCTTTTGGTATGTTTGGGCTTTTTGTTTATTTTTAAATAAATACATAGAATAAACAAATTTTTAAATAAATGTTATGTGTATCTGCATGAACATATATGCACATTAGTGCAGGTTCCATGGAGGCTAGAGGCATCAGGTCCCCTTGGAGCTGGAGTTACAGATGGTTATGTGAGGCCTGGTATGGGGCTAGAAAATCAGGTCTTCCGAAAGACCTTACCCACTGAACCATCTCTCCAGTCCTGTTTTGTTTTGTTTCCTTTAACACAGGCTGTCACATAGCCTAGGCTGACCTTGAACTCTTGAACCTCTTGCATCCACCTCCTAAGTGCTGAGACTACAGTTTGCACCCGTACACCTGCTGTTTTTTTTTTATGTAGGTGTTAAGTGTTATAAATCCCCATAGAATGACTCTAGATGTAACCCAACTGAAATCGTTTTCATTAACACTTTAACGAATGTATTACTTTCCAAGTATTTGTGAATTTTATGAAATTCCTCATAGTATTAATTTCTAGTTTCATACCATGGGAGGTGGGAAAGATTCCTAATTACCGTCTGTCTCAAATTTGTTGAGGCTTGTTTTGGGCCAAACATATGATCCTTCCTGGAGAATGGTTCAAGTATACTAGGGGAGGATGAGGACTCTGTAACTTTGGGATGGGAAGTTCTATGTTTGTGAGGTCCATTTGGGCTACCGTACTGTTCAAGTATAATGTTCGTATATTTTGTCTATCTAATCTATTCACTGCTGAAAATGGAAATCGGCATACTTTCATAGTATTGCTTTATTTACCTTTAAATTTTAAAAGTTCTACGTGTGTGTGTGTGTGTTGTGCATGTGTACATGCATGCTTGCATGTATATGGACACTTATCTTTATGTGCACATATGTATGCAGTGCATGTACAGGCCTGAAGTTGATGTAGGAAATAACTCTTCCATGTTATGCACTGAGGTACTGTCTCTCAACCAAACCCAGCGCTCACCAACACTACTATTCTTGCTACATGGCTTGCTCTGAGGATCCTGTCACTACCCTCTAAGGCTGAAACTAACATTGGGCTATCATGCAGACCTGGCATTTTATGGGGATTCTGGGGATTAAAATTCTAGTTCTCAGACTTGCATAGCAAATACTTTTGCCACTTAGCCATCTCCCCAGCCCTCACATTGATTTAGAGCCTATGTCTCCCTTCAGTTCTATTAATATTGCTAAACATACATCAGTATATGCATTCCCCATAGCTCCTTGAGGGGATGACCCCTTTGTGAGCTTATTTGTATATGTACACATGCATAACACACACACAAA